TTTACTCTGTCTACTCTGCTACTGGATAAATTTCGTTGATATAACAATATATAAACATTGGAAACCAGCCACACCATGGTGATAGTGTGAAAAACTGTGCATGTTAAAAGAATAGCGTTACCAACTCTTAACGGAAAGTTAGCAATACTTTACTCTGTCTACTCTGCTACTGGATAAATTTCGTTGATATAACAATATATAAACATTGGAAACCAGCCACACCATGGTGATAGTGTGAAAAACTGTGCATGTTAAAAGAATAGCGTTACCAACTCTTAACGGAAAGTTAGCAATACTTTACTCTGCTACTGGAAAAATTTCGTTGATATAACATTGTAATGCGTTTATGAATAACTTCCGAACATAAGCAACCTAAAGGCTCTAACTTATATCAAAAGAATTAAGACAAAAGGTTATATATATATATATGTGTGTGTGTGTGTGTGTGGTGTGTCTAGAGTTGTTATCAAAGCTTAGTTTTTAAATTGTAGTCAGTAAAGTACTCTTAATATCAGAACGAATAATGAGGCAATATAGTTTACAATATAAATCACTTAGAGGTCATAAAATGTAAAATCATTAGTTTTCATTAACCCAATCATATAGAGGGAATAAAACTTATACTACTACTTTTCATTAACCCATCTATTGGATGTCCTAGTAATTGATAGTGTTTAAAACTTAATAAATGGAGTACTCTATACTTACGTTTAGCAAGGTTAGAAACTTCCGTGCTTTCTGATCTTTTAGCTTGAAAAAAAAAAGATAAAGAAATTACTTGTTGTGAATCTCGAGAAACTGGGACCACCTGAGATGAGACTGAGAGATTATATAGGAAGGGATCGATCTGAAAACCACAGTAGTCATAAAAACTAAAGAATTGGTGAAATCATGTTAATACGCGATGGTCGGAAAATGTTGCAATGACAACGTTTGCGGTAAGTCTGCGGAGTTATAAAGCTACAAACTGGGTTTCCATACCCGTGTTTGGTACAGCACAGATAACCCATTGTGTAGCTTTATGCTTAACTACAAACAGACAACAAAAGATAATTTAATTTTTAGTTTGAATAGAACTATTGGAAACCATATTGATAATCATTACACCAAACTACTTCATGATTCAATTCTAATGAAGATCTATTTTGCTTCTTAATTTGACTCTTCCCCTTTTTTATTGTTATTATTGAACTATTGCGACTGCGTACAATTTATAGTTTAAATTTTTTTATGTCAGCTGTCATTAATTAATCAGTTTTAAACAACTACCACTCAGAGAGCTCTATACTGAACTTCCAAAATGTACGAAGCGAGATCCAGCTTAACTGAAAATTATGATTAACATAAAACCAAAAAAGAAAATTAAGTTTCAGAATTTCGCGCAACGCTACACAAGAGGTACGCGCACAGAGCCGTCCCTAATTTTGAACTGATAAACTCGAGGGAAGGAAACTAATGAACAACACCCACTCTTAACTCATGTACGATCCAATAGTGGGATCTTACTATCACTGTTATAAAATATCCACGCCCCGAAGTGCGGAACGCTTATTTTGCGGCAATGGGTTGCGAGCCATGAATTCTCGTAATCACAGTCCGGGCACACTAATCCCAAAAAATTAACAACAGCTATCATGAAAATTTTACTCAGCGAAATTTAGGAAAAACAAGCTTCACGGAGCAGTAACTTTGTGTTGTTATGAGTATTTGAGCAAAATAGCCAAGAAAGGAATAAAAAACCCTATAACCCGAGCGCTTTCGAAAAGTGGACCTTTCTTCTTCAGTTTGCCCTTGAATTTTACACTAAAAAAAGACATTTCGTTTAAAGGACAATAAGTTATGTTACTTCTCATAAAAAAGTCAAAACTTTTAATTTATATATTAATAGGTAGGATCTAGTATAAAATCGAAGGATAGAAAGTATGAATACGTTTTTTCAGTTCAAAATATCATATAGATATTATACTTAAATTCCTGTAACTGTGTTTCAACACACAAAACAGATGGTCGAATTTTCAGTGTTTTACTAATTAGATTTCAAGTATTGATTTCTTTGTTCAGTTTTACGACAAATAGGAAGTAAAATTTATTTCTGTGATAATATTTCTACTTTTTGTCTTCCTTCTCATTTATTTGTCTGCCTCTATTTTTGCCAACCTATTCATCTATATCTACCGCCTGTGCTTCTGTCTGTTTACACACCTGTTTGTATGTCTGCTTACCTGTCTGTCCATTTGTTTGCATACCCACCTCCCTTTCTTTCTGCCTATTAATCTATCAATATCTCTGTCTGTCTATGTTTCTGCCTCCCTGCCTATTTATCTGTCTGTCTGTCTACTCTCCTGTTTAAGCGATCCATAATGTAACTCATACTTACGAGGTGGCGTTGTTCTGTATTTTTCTAATTCCTCAGTAGGCACCCCTGAAAAATAAAACATACACAAACCACAATTCTTCTTCATGTTAATCAACGGTACACTGTGTTTAGAAATATGAACTAGTAATTAAATACATATTTATTATAGATCAGATAAAATGTAGATACATCACAATATTTTGTTAAATCTTTTAGCACCGCTCACTATCGTCTTCTGAAGCCCAAACACTTGAATTTGATTTTAAATATTTATTTTTGACTTTGAAGTATCATAGCTAGGATATTCCTTAATTTTAAATACAAGCGTTATATATTGAAACCTCACATAATTCTTAAATGTATCATTATATATGAACTTTAATGTAATATATTATTCAACCATCATAATATAAATCATTTTTCAGCCAATCATTATTTACCAAAGTTTTATGTCATATTGAAACCTTACCAATCAACAAATACCAGAACTTTATATAATCTTTTAGCAAACCATTCGATATAAGATGTTACAGCATTTTTCAGTCAACCATCAAATACCGGAATTATATACCATCTTTAAGTCAAACCACGACAGAGAAGATTTTATCTCACGTTTTAGCCAACCAGCAAATGCTAGAATTTTACCTCATATTTCAGGTAACCCTCAAATGCCAGGATATTCATCACACTGAAGAACCCATAAAAATTGTAACCTCATATTTCAACTAATCTTCACAAAGAAAACTTCTATCTCATATTTCAGCTAACCTTCAAATGCCAAGATGTTATCTCACATTTGAGTTAATTCTCATTTGCCAGGATTTTACCTCATATTTCAGTTATCCATCAAGTACCAAAATTTTATACAAAACTTAACTGTACTTTATGTTTTCCTTCACAATTTACATAACAAGCAGAAACACATAAATTTGATTTTCCGAGAGTTTTCTTGTGAAAAAAAATCAACGCTTGAATATTTAATGGCATTTTGATATATATCTGATATATAGATTGTTTCCTGTAACATTAGTATAAGTATTTATACCCACAGATAACTCAACCGACAAGATATAATTTAAATATGTAATTGAAATATTAACTGCTTACTAGGTAAAAACTATTTAACAATTCTCAATGTGTTTTTTACTTTATTGGCTAGGCAAAATGATCTTTAACGAATCATAAAAAGCATTTCAAAATATATCTTTAAAATATACGCGTTAAACTAAACTCACTTTCTTTGGCAAATTCCTTCTTGACATACACCTTGAAAGCTAAGTTTAGTCCGGGACACATATGAATCGTTTACTGTTCCTATAATAAAAATAGGTTTAGTTTTCAATGACTTACCTATACCGAAACACTCCGGACTCAGTGAAACATCGTCAACAGCAATGTCAGACCTGTGTCGCAAGCCCCGAGTAGCGATAAACTGGAGATGAAATCTGAAATATTTGATGATAATTAAGGATCTGTGACAACCAAAACACACTCAATGATTCCAATAGATGTGTATGTCAAGCAAGGAAACAACATCACAGTTTGTTTCCTTTTGTTAAGTCTATCCATTACGTGGGCCACGTGTCATTTCTTATCTCTTACAAGTAACAACTATATGGTAAAATAATCTGTTTTGGGGAAAATCTATTCTCGTGTTTTCATGAAAAAAAGTTTCACTTCAGTATATCGGGGTTTTTCCATGTTCATATCAAAAATATTTGATATAAATTTCTCGTCAATATTTTGGCTTCATAGAGTTGTTAAAACAGTTATTTTACATAAAATGTGTAAACATTCAGTAAAGTTTTAATTGAAATTAATACTCATCTAACATGATTAAAATGTAATTGGAACTCATTATCCTAGAATAATACAAAGTAATTAAATAATTTAAGGCCTCCATTATAAAATTCACATTTTCTCGCTATCGCTGTAAAGCACTTTGAACATTTTATTTTCTCTGTAAAGTGATAATCTGAGCATAAAGCAGGTTTGTTCAAGAGAATTGAAGATTTCCATACAGAAACCTTTTAACAAAATTATCTTCGAAATATCATTTTATTTCCCATTCTCAGAGGAAAATTCAGAAACTGTTCCCCTAAAACTTAACTATAATGTTATGTAATATTTCAATAAGGATAAAGTGTCCTTCATTTTGAGTCGGACAACACTGTGGATCGTAAGGGAACGATTGAAATATTTTTAAAAATCAGCCAAAAGATGTTATGTGCTTTAAGAGAAAGGTCTTAAATTAGCCAAAAGATGTTATGTGCTTTAAGAGAAAGGTCTTAAATTAGCCAAAAGATGTTATGTGCTTTAAGAGAAAGGTCTTAAATTAGCCAAAAGATGTTACGTGCTTTAAGAGAAAGGTCTTAAATTAGCCAAAAGATGTTATGTGCTTTAAGAGAAAGGTCTTAAATTAGCCAAAAGATGTTATGTGCTTTAAGAGAAAGGTCTTAAATTAGCCAAAAGATGTTACGTGCTTTAAGAGAAAGGTCTTAAATTAGCCAAAAGCTGATATGTGCTTTAAGAGAAAGGTCTTTTATTTTTAAGAGCAAGAGAAGAAAGAAGTATTCGGTCTTTATGCGCATGAACAGGTCGTTTAATCAAACATCATAGTCGTGACTCTTCATAAGATAATACGCATGTCGAATTAGGAAGATCTTAGTGAAGAAAACAACGAACTTTCGTAATACTGCAGGTATAATATTTTATTACCTTTTTTTGCTAAATAATATTATGTTGTTTCCATTGATGTTATAAACAAAATAACATTCATTTTTGCACTTTATTCCACTGAGTTTAAAATAAAGGTGTATTAAAATATCCACCTTGAAGGCGGGCTAATAGTATGCTCCAAGAACATATCCACTTTGAAGGCGGGCTAATAGTATGCTCCAAGAACATATCCACTTTGAAGGCGGGCTAATAGTATGCTCCAAGAACATATCCACCTTGAAGGCGGGCTAATAGTATGCTCCAAGAACTTAGATCTCCAGCTGAAGTTTAACGTTGAGTGTTGGAAGAATTTTGTGGTTCTTCAACATTAGGTTCTGGTTGAATTTGGAACGTAGAACTATAGATAATGGCTAGAAAGGAGATCTATGCATATCCTTAAAAGTGGATAATAGAAATGTATGACAATAATCGAATAGTCTCTTTACGCAATATGCCTCCTTATAATAATAAAGCAAAGGTAGAAGTAATAATTAAAAGTAAAATTATTTATATTATCAAATGTATAATTCTGATATTATAGAAAATGAAACTATATATAATTATCACAAGAAAGAGAAATTTATCCTATTAAAATGACAACATAATTTACACTCATCCAAACTTAATCGTAAAGGACGTATATATATATATATATATCAATATCAACTGCTAACGAAACGTCATCACCGCAAACCAGTGATGAAAATCTTATATAATCAGTCATAAATGAATTGAAACCGCGTAGATCAAAAACAAAACAAAAGCGAACTTATACCACATGCAGAACAGCTGCATACTGTATACATTTGGAGAGAGATAACAACGCAACTATCAACTAAAGGGTGCTTGAAATATCCAATTTATTCAACTAGTTTTTAAATTGCTGGTTAAAACTTGCTATGCAAGCGAATGAAGGGCAATAATAAAAGAGAATAATGACTGGGTGGTTAAATTTATAACATCCTAAGCTTACCTATTACTCACCATCTGCGGCTAGTTTTGAGTGTGGTTGTAACCCTACAATACCAAACACGAAGTTAAGAAATTAAAAAAATACAGATTTTGAATAGCAAACACCCTATAATCTAAATCAGATAATACACCCAACCCCATCCCAACGGCATGACACAAATGTACGAAGGCAATTCATAAATAAAACAGTGATAATGACTCCACGCTCAATGAATTGGACCAGGATAGGTCCCTGGGAGTCCCAAAGAAGATCAATGTGATCTTACCAGAGGTTGATTGTGTTTCTTTTATAGTTTTCTAGGTAGTGGTGACTCTGGATATTTCCGCTGCATGTTGTATCTTTTGCTTTCCGAATGAAAAATGACGTACTTATTTTTGTCGCCTGTGACAGTACGGAAACAAACTTGTCACATTCATCCAGGTAATGTTGCAAAAGTTGGGTGCATGTATCCATACGGCTCTGTTTATGGATGTCCATTATTTTGGGATCCAGGTGTTCATGGATACTGCGTTCACTTATACCAACTTCATTAACAGTTCAGCAGTAAACACTCATCAGTTATCACGAACAACTGTATCCATCTTGGCAATATTTCCACCAGTGGTGGCGTCCTGGTTGAACTTCGTCCACTACTGACGTTCGGTCATTGTTAAATCTGTCCACTCACACGTACACTTTTTTTGCGCCATACAGTTCTCTACCTATTGCACCAGTATGGCTCGACTCGCAATCTGAGGGTCGTGGGTTCGAATCCCCGTCGCACCAAACATGCTCGCCCTTTCAGCCGTGGTGGCTTTATAATGTGACGGTCAATCCCACTATTCGTTGGTAAAAAGAGTAGCCCAAGAGTTGGCGGTGGGTGGTGATGACTAGATGCTTTCCCTCTAGTCTTACACTGCTAAATTAGGGACGGCTAGCTCAGATAGCCCTCGTGTAGCCTTGCGCGAAATTCAAAACAAACCAAACCATTGCTCCAGTCACTATTCTTTGCATCTGTCGAATACAAGGATGGGCTAACTAGGACTAACGACATTTAGACGTATTTAATCTTAGTTTTATAGGTGAAGACTAGAATGTTATATTGCTTGTTATTGAATTATATAGGAAGTCATCATAGCTCCATTATATTATTAGAATAAATACGAGAGTGCTTCAGAAAATAAAAAGAATATTTACATCATTGCTTTCTACGTTCGACAAAACAGTAACCGACATGACGCCAAGCAACAGTTGTGTACGAACTTGTTAAAGTGCTCTCTCGTTCACGCGTTGTGCACTCGTGGCGTTAGTAACCAAGGGAACAGCATGACCACGCAATTTTCAGTGTGCACCAGAGAAAAGCAGCGATTTTTAATTCGTCTTTGGCAGACCGAATGTGTTGTGCTGCCTGATAACCAATAGAGGCCCTAATCACCTGGCCATGCCGGCTTCTTTCCCAATAACTCACAGAAAGTATGTTGTGGAATCAGTTGTGCGTTTTCGTAGTTTTTGACAATTTTTATGACAAATGAAAAAGGGCACTTTGGGGGCAGGTACTTATATTTTCTAAATTATTTATCGCATATTTCACCTTTTCTTTATTGGAATTTTCAAAAGTTAGTGTTATTCTGTGAGATCAATCGGTTTCGTATTAATGCTCAAAGTGAATATTTATATATACAGAAATGTGAAAATTTTATGATACTTCCCTTGTGACGGCTAATAACTTTAGCCAAAATGTTTCAAACTACATCGACTAAAATACACGTTTTATACATATTTACCTTTATTTTTTAATTGTGATGCACTTTCTTTCTGCTCCCCCTCTTACTATATTATACATACTTACGAATGCGAATTCATTAAATACCTTATTATTTTTCGTTTTATTGAAATATACGCTAGGCCAAAAGGGAGTTGAATGTGATTAAATACAATTCCACATTTACAAGAAATGTATTACTACAATTTTTATTAATGTTATTAAGAGTAATATAATGAAACCCGCATACGATAGAATACTGGGGTGGCAAAATATATTTACCTTTACCTATCTTCAGTTTTAATTTCTTGAAAGCATTTTAAGTATGAAGCAAGAGGGAATCCTCAATAGCCGCGGCTCTTGAAATTCTTTTTGGCAGGATTAGAGTAAATTAATCTACGAAACCTTTTTTTCCCCCCTTTTTATTAGCTATATTTTCATACGCCAGTAATACCAAACGTTGGGCGCGTGTATACTCGATTCGATTTTATTACTCATCAGGATCTCTACCAGCCTACCTTCGAATTGAAATTATTTTAGGCACGATTAGAGTAAAGTAATCTAAAAGATCTTGGGCGTGGTCAAATACATCAAATGTAAGGGTTTGACCTCCTGAGCTCAAAACTGCAATTAGATCTTAAATCGGTCAAGAGATGATGGAGCTACGAGCTAAAAGTTTGTACTTGAAAAAAACCAAAAAACTCAGAGCTGTTCTATGAGCCGCGGCTAAAAACGTTTTTCTACTGGCATTGTGAAATGAAATTTTCAAAAGTGTTAACACTACAACAAACTATGTTTGTAATGTAACAAAATACTCCTAACAGTGCACTCCACTCTTACTTTTTTTAAAACGTTTGTACTTTGTTACTGTTTCATTATTAACAAAGCTTTATATTTTAGAATTGAAACAAATGATATGCAAAAAAAATTCAGATAAAAAAGCAGAAAATGATCTTTCACTATTATCCAACAACCACCAAGTTCTAATTTCATAATCCAACTGGCATTATTTTTTGTGCATATAAAAAATATTTGGGCCTGATAACACAATTTAGTTTGATTACCAAATAAACCACTAGATGGCACGAATAAATTTTATTAGTAAATCGGGCAATGGCAAGTATATGTCCGAATAATTTACTTTCATTAGTTAATAAGCCACTGGTTGGAATAAAGCAGTATGAATAAGATGTAGGTAGCGGATTAAATGATGAGCGTAGACGACAGTTTGGGAAAAGTGTTCTAGGATATTATACACGAGCTGAATATCTTCGAAAAATGTTTTTCCTTTTTTAGTTTTAAAATATAACCTATATGGAATTATTGCAATAAAAAATTATCTTATATACTGCGATAATCTTCGGGTTTAAATCCTCCCATACTTGTTTATTTTAATAGAATTAAATGCGACGCCGATGATAGCCAATTGGTAATAAGAAGCGGTGTGTGGTGGGGGAGCGAGCACCTTTCGACGAAGGTTTTTGAATTGGCTAGATAGGAGGAATAGAATTGATCATATACGTGTTATCTATAGAACCCGTTCACTTTACGAGCGATGAAATGTGTTCATTATTAGTAAATTAGGTAGTTTTAATTATCAATAAAATGTATGAATTTCACAAATCTCACAATCTAAATACACTGTAAAAGTCTAATGACATTTCTACTATATTCCATTAATCTAATATTTAAGGTTTAAGTGAAAAAAAATTGTAAAAATTAAAAATTGGAATTGCTAATACAATCCTTTTCATAGTTCTTCAGTATGAATGTAAGTAATATAAGAACAACAGAACAGTATAATACTTCCTGTAAACAAAGGTCTAACTACAAGTTCAACTTTTAATAAAAGTTATACACAGACAAAGGGTGTCCAAAACCCCATACACAGTATTCTAGTAATGGATTTGAAATAAACATTCTCTTAGTAAAAGATCTAAAACTACAATATAGTAAAATTGCTTATAATTAAACGTTCATAATTCAAACAGAATACATATCTTCTAATAAATATATCTAGAAACTTTGAATGCATCAATATTCATATTGCACATATGCATATACTTAGACTGTATTACAAAAGGTATAGAAACAGAGTACCTCCAGATAGCTCATATTAATTTTACATTAGAATCAAGAACTACAGAACTGACAATGGTTTATAAAAATTAGCAGCTGTCACAGCCAGTCAGTTGGAGCCAAGATGTTACTAGGAAAGATCAGAGGCCTTCAAAGTAAAATGTTTACTGGATATAGTATTAGTGATTTGAAGGTCCAATACATTCAACCCATTTACTTATACCAACATCCAACAGAAGACCAATGGATACACTCGTGTAAAATCAGTTTGACTGCGTAACACTAAACACTTTTCGGAACTATTTACTGTTTACAACTCCTGAACACTCCTTCCTTAACTAACTTAATTTTCTATTACTAAGAAGACTAAAATTAATTAATTATTACTCCATCCTTTTTCTTATGTGACCTCAACTGCCCAATTACAGTTTATGGAATGTTCATTTAGTTGCAGACTGGCTTGTCAACAGGATACCATCAAATTGCATTAAAGACAGTATGCAACTACAAATGAAATCAGAAAATAGTTGCAGTACATTACAATGATATGACATCTACAAGTGTTTGTTAGTACCATAACAGAAGCAAAGTAAGCTGCAAGAGAACATACAGAAATGTAAAATCAAAATTTATTCACTTGAGAAGATGCCATACAGAAACATAACATACAAATTTATTCAATTGAGATGACATACAGAAACATAAAATACAAATTTATTCAATTGAGAGGATGTTAAAAGTGAATTATAAATCACAGTGATAATATAGATGAAATAAAAAGTAATGCATACATGTCAATCATTTCTCTAGGGGTGCATAGTTCAGCAGTTTTTCAATTAAGTCCACATGGCCAAGAAGCATTCTTCGACAGCAGTATCTTTTCAGTCCTAAAGCATCCAATGCATCACTGGTAGAAAAGACAGTAGTACATAAAAAAAAAACCCAGAGATAAAGCAGCAAGTGCTATTGATGACTATTTTGTAAATTTAGTGTACTAAGTAGTAATTTACATAAAGAAATGGCAATGATGCATGGATTGTTAAACCCCAAAATGCATTTTAATAGCTTGTCTTTTTGAACTTTTTTCCATAATACAGAAACAAAGCAAACAATAATCTTAAAGTTGCTGATGATTAGTTAGTATACACAATATGACCTTAATAAAATAAAAGTTTTTAGCCCCTAATGAGTGTGTATACATTGTATAAATGCAAAATAACAAATTAACATAATTGTTTTCTTGTTTCTTTTTTTTCGTACTGATTTCATCAATTTGAATATTATTATTAGTAAAATGTACAAAATATTGCTCAAAATTCTTAAATATAGATATGTTGAAAAATTTTACTGCATAAATGAGTTTGCATAGAAAACTGATATTCTTGCTTCTTGTACAGTAATTTAAGAGAAGTTATTATCATGGCTAGACATGCCTTAATATACAGGCCACAAAATTATGGATTTCAAAAATCATAATTACTTACTAGTAAAAATTCTACATATTTAAAATTTATACAGTTGTATGGGACAAAGAAACTTTTATAAACAAACGACCATTTAAAACTCAATTTAATTGGTAAGTACAAAACAAACACTGAACCAACAATAAAATGCCCTTTAAAGAAGGCTAATTATGCGAACAAGTGAATTTCCCAACACAAGAGGATTATTATTCCTAAGTTCAATTATATTTATATTTTTTATTTTGGTTAGCCAAAATGACTTTCTCCTTGAAAATGAAATTTGAATAGAATTTATAAAGTTTCTGATACACTATTATTGTGGCTTCTTATTTTACTTATAATGGCAATTGAAAAACAAATCATCAAAACATGTCCACTGTAATATATTTTGGCACAAGCTTTTTGATTACAGAGTTAAAGAGAACTCCCAGTTTCAATCTTTTACTCCACTGTATGAATGCTACACTATTAGACCTTTCAATGAGGTAATACAAAATGTAGTGTGTGTAAAAAAAAAGTAGATTGCAATTTGTTTTTATATTTGAAAAACCTTTTGCTTGCTATTAAAAATAACAATACTTGCAAAACATTAAAAACTAACTGAAACTTCTCTTAAGTTTTGTGGTCATTAAATACTAGCAAAGATAAATTATTTTTAATACATGTTCATCATTCACTCTTAAAAGCCTTGTCTATCTGCATATGAAGAAAATCTATGTTTATGCCTTGCACATTTGTATGAAATACTTAAAGTATATTTATAGAGCCTATCTAAAACCTACCCTTCTGTATATTCTGCTTGCAAAAGACCAAGGTAAGCTTCCCATTTGTTTCCTATGACCTTCCCACAAGTGAAACACCTGACAGGAATAATCATCTCTTTTTCACCTGAATACAAACAATTATTTATTTAAAGTAAATTGCAATTACTTTCCTGACACAATCAGTACTAAAAACAATTTCAACATATATGACAAATAGTTAATAAAAAATTATTAAGGAAATATATCATTTTAAATTAGATCTTAGATTAAATATATCTAAAACTTGTGTGGTTTAACCTGTAAGACCAACATCAACATAATTATTTTATATAAGTAATCATCATATTTTTTAACTCTTATTTATATACATGTGATATGCAAAACTCAATTTACAAATTTTCAAATTAATATTTATAAATGAAATCAAAATGTATCATGAAAATTATGTTTTACATTTTTTAATACACAGCTTACATATTAGTAGCGTAACACAGCTTTATAAATTATAGGAAACAAAGATTTATTTTAAACTTTCAGGTTAAAATTTAACATCTTCAAAGACTGTGTATCATCATTTTTGCATTGGTAAAGACACAAGTCTCACTATCAGTATTACTCTACAAAAAGAAGGTTTAGATTACCTGAATTATGCAAGAAGACATAACTGACGCAACAAAAACCAGAATAAAACTATGGTGAAACTTAAGATACAAAGAAACAAAACATAAAAAAAGTAATAAAATGCCATTCAGTTTACAAATGCCATATTTTACTCTCATTAACAATCCTAAACTACATAGAAACTTGCCCTTTCAAAATCATATACCATAACTATTTAGCGAGTTAAAATTATTTACAATGACCATTCAGGTAATTAGCTAATCAGTCTCTCAAAACAATGACCTATCTATGTAACTGAACATGTACTTTATCTAAAACCACTCTGCATTTTTCTCTATCCAGTGCTAAAATAATTTTAGCTGACACCTGTGGAATGCTATACAATATATACATAAAGGAATTGTCGTATTGTTCCTTACATTCCTGCATTACTCATGAAACAATTTCTTCCCTGAAAATTAATTTGAGGTGCTGTAAAGTAAAGAATGTAGGAAGAATAGAAAAATCAAAAGTAAACACAATAACCCTGTAATCATAGCCTGACTCTTGTCCAACTTCAAAATACTACTTAAATAACTTAAGTTTAATTTACAGTTATTTGTTCAGTTCCAGATGTGAAGTTTCAGACTATTAGCAATATTGTGACAATCTTGTATGTAAAAAAAAAAATAAAAAAATACACAAGTTGGCATATTCTACTAGATTCTGCCAAAGACCATGTTCAAGTTGGATTTTATTATCATCTTTAAATTAGGCCAAAGTAAGCCTATTGTCTTATCTAACTATAACCTAAGTTATAACTCATTGAATCCTTACAGTACTTTCAGTACTTGAAAATTCTATCAAAGACTCAAACTGCAGTAAAATTAAACAGTAAAGTTAGGATTAGTAATGCCCAATACTATACCATATGTAGCCCTGAAGTCCAGAGTATACATGCTATATAGTATATTACTAAGTATAGTGTACTATTAGTATGACAATACTTTGTAAGCCCAAAAATATCAGAATGGACATAAGGGCACAGGAATGCATTCGAACAGACATGTTTTATAATTTTATTTTTATGTTAATAAATAATGTTCCTAATTGATGCAGTTTATTATGTATTTCTATATCCTATCTATCCCTGTAGTTTTTTTTTTGTTGTTGTAGTATTTACTAGCCTAAAGTGAGCTGATATGTTGAAAACATGAAATACTTTCATGGTAAAGATACTGGATGACAGCTGTGAGGCCTGCAGATCACAAAATATGCAGAGAAGAAACTGTAAATTAAGTCTTCATCATTCTGCAATGGTTCTACAGCTGGATGTGAACTGTATTAATTTTGTAATTGAATATAAAATTATGATGCTTTTAATATTTTTCCAAACAATTTTCAAACGCTTTTGTGGATAGTGCTACAACAATGCTCGTAGGAAGGCTGTTCCACTCATAAATTTCTCTTATAATAAAAACATTTTGCCATGATTTCTTTAAGCTATTTGTAGATATATTTCTTGTGGTGAGACTCATGCTTTCACTTGAATTTGACATAAAATTGATTACTTATAATTTCCTAATAAAAAAGTTTTCATCATATCCCCTCTTAATCTAAGGTACGTTCTAAACAAAGTACAGAGGATTGTCAGGTAACTCCTGCTTGCTTTACTCATGACAGCCATGAGTGAGTACAGTCGAGATTTGGACTTATTTAAGTGAATGAGTACTGCAAAGATACCTTGAGCAGTCTCGTGAAACACCCCATCTCATGAGTGAGCACTGTATCAGCCTGTGATGATCATACACTGTACAGATATTGGTTAAGTATACTCTGGCAGGATCCAGTAAGGCATGAAAGGGTCCTGTAAATTTAAGATAAAGAAAAAGAACTTACTCAGGCAGAGATGGTAAGAGATGTGGAGAATGGTGAACACAGGTAGTCCATGGCCCAACAAAGAATACATGGCCACATGACATAGTGTGTAAGGGGGTTGTCCACACACCAGTCCAAGTAACCTCCTCCTAAGGATAATGGAAATGAACAGCTAAAAAATGTTTAAAGTGCCGGATTTAATGTGAGGAAACCTGGAAGCATTGACGAGTATCCCCATCCAAAGTAGAATATGCAAAACAGATGAGTTGACAAAGCCATCCAGTAAGGGCAATGGGATAAAGATCATGGATGGAAGAAGGATTCCAAAGAATAAAGAGATGAGATCATGAACCATGAAAGGGACTAGTTCAAGCCAAAGAACAACTGACAAAATGGACAGGACAGAGTAGGCAATCAGGATCTGAGTGAAAATAAAATGAGAAATAGATGGGAAAAATATAGGAATGAACACACTGTTGCCCACACATGCCACAGACATGTTAGGGAGAAAAGCACGATCAAAACAGAGAAGAGCATATGAGTGATAGAAAAGAATATGGGAAGAACTGATGGCATACACATCATAATGTCAATGACCACAGGTGAAAAGAAAGAGGAAGTAGGTTGTAAGGGAAAGACGGTACAAGGAACAGAAAGCCAAAGGTTCAAGGTGGAGGGTAAGGGCATGGAGAACAATACTTGGGTCGTAGTCAAGAAGGCAAGTAGGACAGTGAAGACAGAGGTGAAAGGAACAGAAGAGTATAGTGAAAACCAGAGAGAAAAACTCAATTGCAATGGGCAACCAGAAAGTGCAGACAGAGCCACCCAGTAACCAGCAATGGTCAATGCCAATAAAAATGCTGGTCAAAAAGCTACCTGAAGAATTCAGAGATATGGGTAACAGAAGGTTGAAAAGGGGAGAAAGAAGGATATAGTAATCAAAAGTGAAAATACATCATTTCCACTGGTAGACTAGGAGGGAAGATAGTCAAACAGAATCGGAAAAAAGGAAGGCCAAATGCAAAGCAAGTCTGGAAGGTCTAGCAAAGTACCAGACAAATCCCACTCCTGAAGTACAAATGATGATGTGGATGGATGGCAGAGATACAAAAGAGGCTGAAGAAGTCAGTTGGAGAAAGGAAAAAGGAGAGGAGGACCATAAAAGGCTCAACTGAGGAAACCATGTTTGAGCAAACCAATATGGTGCTACAAGAAGGACCCAACAGAAAATGTGTTGAATGAAGAAGAGAACACAAGAAAGGAGAAGAATTAGGGGAATATACATAGAGGTTGGAACAGTCTTGACTGAATGCACTGACTGCCATAACCAATGGATGCATAACAATCAACCAGAAGAGGGGAAGCTCAGCATTGTTGGAAGAGGCAAAAGCATCAATGAGAGGAGAGACCAGACGAGAGTACTACCACTTGTAAGTCCTAAGAATTGAGGAACCACTCCATGGGACAAATCTTGTGGGCCTTGAGAGACAATCTACAATAAGACTTAGGGAGCCCAGAACACAACAAACCACCAGTCAGAGTTAGAAGGTGTTAGAAACAAATGTCTCCTGGCCATTTATATATGAAACTGCATATGAGTTTTCTATATGGATAATAACAAAACAGCCATGCACAACTGTAAGCAAACAATCCAAAGCTTAAACAACTGTCAATAGTTTTAAGAAATTGATAAGGGTCCATTCTTCTGGGGACCAATGACCCCAAATCTCCAAAGAGTTGAGAAATGTGCCCTACCTACTTAGTGAAGAATCTGTAAAAAGCTAGAGATCCTGATGGGAGGGAGAAAGAGGGACACACCCTGTATTACTGGCTCTTTCAGACACTGTCAAGAAATAGGATCCTCTGGGTGAGGCCTTCTGATACAACTAGCAGCACCCACTGGTAAATGGTAGCCAAAGGTATGCAAACTGAGCAAAACATTCCCCTATTAACCCTGAATCTAATGGGTGGTCACCAACAAGATCATTGGCAATGAGGAAGAACAGATGGAAGCAGAGGAACAATAGGAAGGAGCAGGAAAAGAAGATGTAGAAGGATGGGAGACTAATAATGGGAAAGGAAGGAGTTATGGAGAAGAAAGAATTTTGAGCAAAGAGAATAAAGTACTCCACCTTCATGGAGGAAATTAGCCATACAAAAATCTGAGATAAAAGAAAGACAAATGTACTTGACCAAGTAGGGTGTCCCTCCTCAACAAGTTCCAGCCCCATGTTAAGCTAAGGCATATATGGCAATTAGTCAAGAAGGACAAGGCATGCCTGCACAAGAGCAAAATGGAGATAAAAACTGCTCAAAAAGGACTTACATATCTTGAGGGGGATAAAATTCACAAACTGGGGATAAATAAAAAATGGAGAAGAAAAATGATATGAGACAGGAAAAAGGTAACAGGTCTGAGAAACCATGTCCAGATATAAGAAAAAAACCTAGGTAGATCCATGACAAAATTGGTAAAAGATTTGGCAAAGGTAGATGGTGAAAAAGAGACTGTCAAAATCCCTTTTGTCACAAAGATGTTAAGAAGAATGTCCATGCCACATCTCCTGTCTCACATTAGCCATCACTTCCTCAACAGACAAAGAGGAACTCAATGCCATTTAAATTGTTTGTCTAGCATTAAAAACACCTAAAATCAACTAAAATATAAATATATATCCAAAATAGTTGGTGTGTTAAAGACACTTCCACAACAAATGCCAATATCACAAGAGCTCATGAGCAAAAAAATGACATCATTACACATGATTGCCAAATTAAGAAGTGATGATTGAACGATCTATATAGAGGTAGTAAGCTATGCTAGGAGAGTATCTCGCTCTCCTATTGGTGATTATCACGTGCTCATTTGCATGCAACAATATCACATGGAAACACACAAGATGAAGTGAGAGCCTAAAGTGACAGCAAATGAAAATAATCACAAAGAGCAGGAATGAATTGGGAAACCTGTAGGTGAGATGTTATGTAGTTATGTATTATACTGGAATTATTATTTAAAGCTCTGGCATTTTGTTGTTTTTTTAAGAATATTAGCGTTCATATATAGATAGAATATCTTTATGTGAGAATTGTTGTGTTTCCTCTATTTCTTAATCCCTTAGAAAGCTTATATTATTTCCTTTACTGCTATCTAGCATAGGTCTTTATTTGAGTTTACTATATCAGCCCATAATTTCTCAATTCCATGTTCCTCTTCTTTGCATTTTTCTCCTGTTCTGCTTTTATAGTTTATCTAAAATCTCAGTATCTGCTTTACTTAGAATTTTTGCTTCTTGAAAAATTTTAATCTTTAGCAGATTTTTATGTATACTCTCTGTGCTTGTATTTAATACTTCTACCTTCTAGTTCTACAACTGCAGCTTTGGTTAAAAGTTCATGAAGTCTCCAATACCATGCAGTATCTGCATCTTCTTCACTTGCCAAAAGCCATATCAAGCTTCAAATATATTTGCATATTTGATGCAGGGCCATATACTCACAGCTAATAGTTCAGTAATTTTGCATCTTCTTCCACAAAGACTGCTTTATGTATATATATACTATTGTATGCATGTCAGGAAGTCTTCAATTACCTGCTTCCAAGTTACATTGTAATTATTTCTTGTTTTTACTACTGTTAACTTGAATTTCAGCCTATTTAGTGTTTTCATTATCACTTCTTTTAGATCTTTCCTTTTAACTTAAAGTTCCAAACAAAAATAATAAGAACTAACTTATCAGGCTTAAACCACTAACATAAAAATATTACTACAGTGTTAGTAACACTAAGTGTTCATCTGTCGGTCGACTATTGTAACTTGCACTGAATGTGGTCTATTCTATAGTCTTAACTTCCACTGAAGTTCCAGTTCTAATCCAAGTTCGTATATACATCTATGTAAAGTTATCATGAAGTTCAAAGCATAAAATACAACTTTTATATGCAAAACAAAACTTTCTTTACTGTGTTTTTACGAACATTCTTCATAATATTACTCGTACGTGGCTGTGGTAATACTAATAGTATAATAGTAATAGTATACTAACACAGTAATTACTAGGGTTAGCACAGATGTCATTTATTCGAAAAAATACTAACAATAACGATATCAGTATATGTAACATTAGTAAAACAACAAAAACAATCTTTACAAGTTTTCTCACCTTCTTTCCTTAATATATATATATACAGACAATACTATGAAAATGTAACAAAGAACACACAGCAAAATTAGAAATAATTCACCGATCGTAGGTTAGTAGCTTCTAATTTGTGGACTGCAGGTTAGGATAAAATGAAAACGATCCTTAGGCTTAGAAAGTCAAACACTAGCGTCCTCTGCGAAAAACGTTTCTCCATTTCTGTTCTTAAATTGCAATTTATTAGTGTTCAACCTTAAATACAGGATAAAGTTTGAGTTTATAAATGTTTATATTTGTATCAATATAAATTATAGAGATTTTGTGAAATAAAACTTAACTTTGATGATATTAGATAACATTCTCTCATCCGAAACAGTAGCAGTAGTGAATTTAAATTTTATGGAAAAAAACAAGATGAAAAGATTTTTATAAAATGAAAGGGAAAAGTTCTTGAAATATATTTTTTAAGAAACGTATTCAGAATGAGAAAATGGTTATAATATTTTAGCTTTTAAGCAATATAACTCTTTTTTCTGATTGTGTTTTGTACGACATATGTTGACTTTTGATCTTACAAATTAGAATCCCCCTTACAAACATTCTGTGTACGGGCCTGAGTTTTCTATATATTACTTAAAGGTAGATTATGAACAGTGGTACCATTTCACCAAAATAAAATGTCGTATAAACAATCAAATTATACAAATTACCCACCCTACTGCAGCTTGTTTAGGAGTTACTAAGAGTTTGCTTTAGTTACTCAACTGTAATAACACATAACCTTACCATAAATATTAAGGTAAAAATAGTATCACATCTTTGTGACTATACGATTACAGTACTTGCTATTTTATGATAACTAGCAGAAATACCCACCCGTGGAGGCAAGTATAACTGCTAGTTTCTTTGAAAGGCTATTGGGCCTGTGGCCTTTTCTTGAATTGTCTGACAGTTCTACAACAATGTACTCATACTTGACATTCAATAACGTTCACTATCCACGAGAAAAAGGATTTTATTGAAATTTTGGTTTAAAAAATGAGCTATCATCACAGTGTTATATCAGGGTATTTCTTAGTAGACACATTAATCAATGATAATGCCTTGCTTTTCTGTTGCAACACTCATGAGTTTTCGCTAAAGAAAAACAATTTTTTTAAGTTTCTTTTTTGATTGTTTTATATTTGAAACTTACTCCTTTTTGTACTTTTTATTGGTTAAATCTGAAACATGTCATTTTTATGGAAATTTCAATTGTTTTATTTATTGCTCAGGTATAAAAAAATACTGCTT